GGTGCGATTACGTTCTCAGACATTGTCATTTTAATGCGTGTATCGAGGTGCCGGGAGGGCGAGGGGGGGGCGTACTCATGGAAACGCATCCCGTAGTCAGTAGACCGTAGACCTCGGGCAGGGGGGGGGGGGGGGGGGGGGGTGGATTGGTCAATGTGACAACTGGAACTATCAGTTCTTTAGGCGAGTGTGTGTGTCACGGCAGTTCTTCTCGTAACCCCGCGCTGCTGCATGCTTGGCGGGACGACGAGGGAAAGACACCGATCGACGAAACGGTTGCCGCTAGGCTGAAACTGCGCTCTCCTCGCTCCACCCAAGAGTTGCGCTCCCCCCGCTGGGCAGGTAAGCAGACGGGGAAAACACAAGGCAGGCCATGCTCTCCTACTCCAACAAGAGAAACATGCTCTCCGTTCTGGACATGCAATAACGAGAGCCGGTTTCGGCAGTGATGCCGAAATGTGGCGGGTCACGCGGGAGACACACAAATCCCTGTCGTCTGATGTGCAGGCCAAAACGCCGCGGACACAGCAGGGCAATCAGTGCCTCCGGATAACCGCTACCATCTTATGGACGCCCACAAAATACAGAAAGATTGTCTACAGATGCGGCATGTACGTACGAGAGGAGGGAAAACAGGGCAGCACCAGGAGCTGCAATACTAGAAACAGAAACAGAGGTAGCAGCAGAGGCAGCAACATTGAAAGACCGGACCGAAGGAAGGAGGGAGTACACGCACGATGAACGTTGATGCAGCGAAAATGTGGACGACCTCAATCATGCCACCCAGCCGACACGGTACGCACTCATAACGTAAAACCAGGTTCCGATACACACCCGCAAGTCACAGCAGTACAACCGCCGTTGCCGTGGTAGAATACCAACCAAACTGTATATTAACTCCTCCACACCCTCCCCGCCCTCTCGCTAACATGACTTGCCTGTGTCGCCGCCGCGGTCGCCGCAGCCGCCGCTGCCGACGAGCGTGGAGAACGCCTTGTGGTGGACCGCCGGCCCGACATTTCTCTCTCTCTCTGTCGGGGGCCCCTCAGCCTAGCGATCTCACACACGCGCTTCGCCCGCCCGCCCGCCCGCTGTGTAGCAGTCTCTCTCTCTCTCTCTCTCTCTCTCTCTCTCTCTCTCTCTCTCTCTCTCTCTCTCTCTCTCTCTCTCTCAATTCTACTCTATGGCCCTCTCCCCATTGCCCGTTGTCCACGCGCGATGCTGCTCAAGCACAAGACAGACGGAAAACGCCCAGAGGAAAAACGGCGAATCAGACGTGATCAATCAGAGGACCTCATGGCTACAATAAGGGTTGCTACTGTAGGGCCCACTCAACCTCTCGAGTCGCCCCGCCAAACTGCCCTTGTTACCGCTTAACATTTACACCAAGGTAGGCGCACACTTCCGCTGCAGTTGTAGGCAGCAGGCAGCGTGCCTGGGAAAAAGGAAAACGGGCAGTTCTTTGGACGACTTGTGGACGCCACATCGTGCATCGCCGGTAGGCACCCCGTGTGCGGCAAGCACGAGTTCTGCAAGCAAGGTTTCCCCGCAGTGCTGTAGGGCCGGTTTCACCCTGGGCTTGAAAGAACCGCCTTTGGGACAGGCGCGTACACTAGCACACGCATAGGATCAGAAAAAAGACATGTTAACACAGCATCCGAATCAACACCAGCAGCAGCAGCCTGCCATACGAAATAAACTCGTGAAGTACTCTGTACTTCGAAGTACATCGAAGTACATATTGTAAGTCCACGCGCTTTGGTGCAAGACCCCAAGCACAACCTCAGCAGGTTATTAGCCAGATCCACAGGGGTTCATTGCCGGTCCCCTTCCCTTGTCCCTCAGCAACGAGAGGTCTTACACGAGTGCTGGAAATATGGCATCGTGCGCCCAGCATCAGCGCGACTCTGCTGTATGCACTACCCTAGCACGCTGTAATTGCCCCGCGTTCAGGAGGACTTGATTGTAAGATGTAAGCGAACGGAGACAGGCGAAGCACCAAAGAATCGCCCAAGTCCTGCTGTGTGGAAGCATGCAAGATACCTTCGTCTCTCGGCGTCATGTACACGCATGCACTAAGTTTCTATCGGCATGCATCACTGGTTTGAGCCTAAAGGTGCCGAGTACAGACCTGCACCGCCGTGGTACAGAAGAAACAGGGAGGACTGGCTGCTGTATGCATACGAGCGGGTGCCGTTTTTCTCCGCGCGCGGTGATCGCAGGAAGTGGTGACTGGGGGTTGGTTGCCTGCTGTCCGATCTATTATTAACAAGTTAGCAGCTTCCCATCATGTAGCTCTCCTACTACTAGTGATGACCAGACTTGCCTTCGAACAACCTCCGACACACAAGCGGGAACATCTTGACTGCTGTATTCAAACTACTCTTGCATACTGTGGACGATGCCCAGTTGCAGTGAAGAAGTTGGATAAATAAGCAGTTGCCAACGTCTCCGCACGACTGTATGAACGCACAGCAAACGCATGGTCCACTGTCCAATTAACGTAGGTGAATCAGCGGCCAACGTACACTCCCGCGGGGCTATGGGCTCTCTCCCCTCCGTAAACTACTCTGCGGAGGTTCGTTGGGCAGCAGCTCTATGATAGCTACATGCAGCTGAGGAGCAAATTTTCAAAGAGCCTTTCAAGCATCTTGCGTCTCCTGACACCCCCCACCTTGTCAACCACGCCGCCAAGTCCTCCGATGTCACTCTCTCTCGCTCTCGCTCTCTCTCTCTGGCCCAGCCCTGCTTCACCAGACAGCTGTTGTTGGCGACTGGTGACACAATCTGCCGCTGGGGTTTCGCGAAAAGTTTTCAGCCCCATGGTAAGGCGGTGTCGGAAAGGGGAGACAAAGGAAAAAATATCTGGATCTTTCGTGCGATACCCGCCCGAGCTTCCCGCTCTGTACGCAGGCCTCACCATCCTCTCACACAGATCCATGACTCCAACACCCAGCGATGTACGGCCAATACGAAAGTCTGGACGCGTGCCTTGCAGCAATGTGCTGGTGCTGCTCTGCCTTGGCGCCGCGACCCGCGCTATGCCGATGACAGCGTCTTCCTCCCTCGCGCCGCCATGCCCACAATATCCTTGCTTGGATCCAGAAGATCACTTGCAAAACCGGTCCCAACACCGTCCTCCTGCTGGGACCAGTGAAGGCCTCGACTTCGGTGGCGACGAAGGAAGGCTCAAAGGTGCACCCTCCTTTGGTTCAGATCCTCCTTCTCCCTCGGTTCTGCAGCGAGATTCTCGCCTGTTTCGAGGTAAAAGCGCCGATTTTGGATCCAAAATGTTGATGCAACAGCACACCCACCCTGCTCAAACACAAGTAGACTTGACTAAAATACACGGGTGATGCAGTCTGTCGTGTACAGCTCGAATTCTAGGCCGTCTGGCCTTTCTGCATTCTGGTTAAGTTGTAGAGACTGTTTCTACGTAATGAAAGCCAAGAGAGGAGCACCACCAATACTACCGCCATATAGGTTGCAGAAGATACCACACCCCCTGGACCGATTTTCAAAGCTCGACTACAGTACTGTACCTCTGCAGCAAAGGCAGTCGCATCGCCGAAAATGGCGGCGTTGGAGACGCTCGTCTGCCGTTTTCTCAAAGAGCATCGTTTGATTTCGGCATCCTCTTCATCGTGGCGTGATCGAGCTTTGAAGATCGGTCCTGGGAGTGCGGTATCTTGTGCTCATGCAGCATGTAGAAAAATATGGCAGTGGTACCCCAGCAGTCCATACGGTAAGCATACACAGCGAATAGGCGAACTCGATAGTTAATTACAGTAGTATCCAGATTGGTAGACAGTACGAAATTAGAGCATCGGCCGTGTGCTGCTGTAGTAAAGCCTAGGCAGCCATGTTAACGCTTTCTTGCAGCTGGTGTAGTTGTTGTAGCCCATGATACACCAGCATGACGCGTGTGTCGTGGGCCCAACGTGCTCGTAGCCTGTAGACTACTCGCGGTTGTGCAACTGCGTCAGGCACGCCGAAACGCGGCAAGCTACGCTATGTACATATTCTATAGTTGCCATGCGTTCCTTACCCATATCCCGTTACCCTAACCCATGGTGGTGGCACTGCTGACGAAGGGCGATCGCCCACCATTTTCAACATAGGAATCCTGTATTGTAAACGCGTGCGAATTGGTCGTGCCCACTCGTGTAACATGTAAGTAAGTGTTGGTACTGTTGCTACAAAAAGTACGATATACCTGTATCTCGAACCAGTTGCGCCTGTTTTCTTTTGCATGCACGTGTCAGACCATCCTTTGGCCATAACTAGGTTTGGCGGAAGAAGAGAATCGCCCGTGCGGGAGCGAAACGAGCTGGAGCGCCAAGACCAGGAACTGGTGGGGACCACGGCGGTACGAGGTGGCGATGCCGGGAAAGAGAAGATCGTGGTCACCCACGAAAACCTGCCCAAGATGAAAAACGTGGTGATCCTGCGGGGAGAGGGCATTATCTACTGCCCCATTGCCAAGGTGCGCATATCCCACGATGGCGCTCTGCATGGGCCATCTCGCATCTTTGACAACAAAAAACACAGCTTTCGCCCACTTCTTACGGTTGTGGCACGAGGTTGTCTTCCCCTTGTGCGATGGTCTGGTTTTCCGGGCGTGTACTGTGTGCAGATCACTCCCGATGGACTCTCTATGGGCCATATTTTGTCTGACGTTCTCTCTCCATGCGTGGCCACACGAGGTTGTTTGTCTTTTGCGTCCCTCCATAAACGACACACATGCAGAATCTGCCTGGTGAATGTGAGCTCTGCTGCGATATTGCTCCTTAGAAATTGAGGGTTTGAGAAGGAGTACGGGGAGGGTGGACCACTTCCAGAAGCAAGCGTTCTTGAACAAAATGTCTGCACGTCTAACGAACAACAGGTGGCCAGCGCCGAGTGGAAACGATCTCTGCGCTGGATGGTGGGCATCGAGGACTGGATGGGGAACCACACCAACCTGCACTCCGCGGGGAAGAACGGGCTCGAACGGCTCCAAGAGTGGGGACTAGAAGGAATAACGTGGGCCCTCGAATCTGACCGGTACTTCAGGTGTGATGTCTCATCCACTACTGTACATACATACGTGGAAGAACATGACTTGTTATGAAACAGTACCAGTGTTTTGTACAACACCCCGGCCCTTCCCTCCATTTAGCAGCCCCACCCTTGCCCCCCCACTAGTCTGACTCGCCTGGTTCCCAATTCGTTCAGATCATCGCCCCTGTTGTGAAGTGAAAAGCCCCTGGGACAGGTATCGGGTCAGTATTCCTTTTGGTGCACGACGATACATGGCGCCGCCACAGGTTGCCCGCCAGAGGTAGTGTGAGATCTACGTTTCATGGGCTTCGTTGGGCCGTCCGTTCCATCACACCTCAACACCCGATAGTAAATTGCACCAGCGCGCTTGAGTGAAAATGTAACCGGTCGCTCTGAAGAACCTCACGCCACAACTATCAGCTTTCCCTGCATCTTCAATCTGCTGTTCATTCTCGAACTCGTGTTACACAGTAAGTGCTCCGCATCCCTCAAGCGTCTCTCCTTATCGTCTGCGTCTTGCGCTGCCTACTCCACATCAACACAAGCAACGTTGCATAGACACGTAGCTTTTCGCCTGTGCCTTACGCTGCCCGCCCCACACTAACACAAGCAACGTTGCGTACAAACGTAGCTTTTCGCCTGTGTCATACTCTGCCTACCCCACACTGATACAAGCAATATTGGTTCTGCACGTAGGTTCGTGGTTGTGCGGGACCCCGCAGAGCGCTTGGTGTCTGCCTTTTTGAACAAGTGCGTCACTGATGGATACATGAGGTAAGGCGCGAGTGTCAATGGGGGGGAGTACTATTTGATGATTTCCTTGATCATATGAAAACATCGTCGAGAAGGAGCACCGATACAAAATACAATTCATTCCTGGTAGAGACCCGCCAGGTTGACGGCGATGTTCGCCTGTTAGCTACGAGCCTGCACCAGGAGCATTCTGTTCCCTTTTATCCTCGAATGTGCGGACCAAGACAATATACTACGTCTACCATTTTGGTGCATGATCGAAATAATTTCTTCCTTCTTGTGCGAGGAGTGCGCCATAGAAATGTTTTACGCCATCCCCTTTCCGTTCCGTGGTCGTCGCCAGCCAGTAGTGCACTGTTCGTGTGTTGCTTTGAGCAGCGGTATGTATTGCAGGCATGGAACGTATGTGGATTATGTATACGAAAAAAAGTTCCTATCGATCGTTCCTCTTGACGATCGACACACGACCTCACTGTGGCCTCCCTGGGTGTCCTTGTTCGCTCGTTAACACTACCGTCGTTCTGCCTTGACTACCATTGCTTCATGTGTAGTATCTGCTCCCAGTAACACTGGTTTGCGCAAGCGACAAAACACAACAACGTACGCAACCTCATACACTCGCCGACATTCTTGATGCTGTCGAAAAGAAAACAAAGACGGCGCTAGTACAAAACCTAGGTCCCGATGTCGTCAGCGAGCTCGTGTTCCGTCTGGATAGAGTGGATCCATCATGTGGTGCATCAGCTCTCTATTGTAACAAGAATCGGGCGATTTTTGCGTTGTGCGGGGATTGTAGTCGACAACACGGCCACCGTCTGTCGTCGGAAGCCGAGCAAATAAATCCTGCACGAAACACATCGATCGGTCAACGTTTTTTCAATAGATAGCTGGTGAACATCCGGAGTGTTCAGGAATCGTAATATAATGATTCGTGCGCAACTTGGTGACCGTGCATCTAAGAGCACCATGAACATGGACGTGGGAATGCTGTTTCAATATTGTTTTGGGTCACTCTAGTTCTGCTCTGCAACGTTGCGGAGACCTTCATTTGGCGGGGTTTTCATGCGATGGAAAATCCCGCGGATGGTCTTACAAACGCATGCTCACCGTTTGTCGAGGGCAACCTTTATTGAAATGCGAGACGGCGCCAAAGTTTCGAGGCTTGACGAAACGTTCGCATGCTGGAAGCGGCAACAGAAGTCATGAAACCCAACCATTTTTTCCGTGTCTCCGGGATCCATCCCGCAAACTGTGCCGTGATTGTCGTCTCCGTACCGCACGTGCAGAGGACGGCTGAACCGCCAGGGTGCACCGAACTGCGCCTACCTGAGCTTGATGCCCACCTTGTTTCCGAACGCAACCGAGGCGACGCTGGACACCCACCAGACGCTCAGAGGTGAGAACGCTGTGACGGGGGGGCATCGGGCATGGAGTGCGAGCCAACGGACGGGGGAAGGAGGGGTAGAGGATGGAGGACGGCGGCGGGAGTTAGTGACCATCATTTGTGCGTTTCGCTCAGAGTTCGTGGGGATGGCTTTTCCAGGAGGCTCGAGGTACTGGGACTGAGATTGTGGCCACGTGAGAGCGCCCTGCAAGGATACACACTACCACAATGAGTGGGTTGATCGCCCTTCCCCAACGTCCTCTCTCGGACCGTAGCTCTCGGGTTTCCGCCCCTCATCGTGGTTGTGTCTGCCCGTTTGTTTGTTTTTGCTTGGTGTGGGAACTGCACCGATGGGCTCTAATCGACGATTGGTGCCGGACAGATCTAGTGGAACGCGAGCCGGAGGACACGTTTTACCATTTCGCTTCTGGCATCCTGGCGGAAATGAAACGTGAAGGCGACGCATGCAAGGTGAGCTCTATACTGTAGCATCCCCAATGCATCGGACGAGATACACATATTCAGGCACCGAACATGGCTAGAACATGTTGCGTGATTTACACCATTAGCACGAGGCAGGATTGATTTTTTGTGTGTTGCATTCTCCTAATTGGACTCTGTTGCACCAACAAGGTAAATATAGTGTCGCACGCGACTGATATCTTCGAAATCCTCTCGCGGCATTTCTGCGGCTGGAGAGAACATGTAGAAGACCTGTCTTGATGTGGTCCAGCGGCGCACTGACAAGTATGTATTCTATATTTGGAAGGATTGTGATCAGATCACCACAGTCAGTGTTGGTTGTGAACTTGACGTACTCCGGAACTTCCTGCGCATCTCCTCTTTATCTACTTTCAAAGTTACACCGTGGCTTCAGCAGAACTTTGCCGTGCTCTATGACCTCATTTACGCACAAAACATTTAGGCTCATCGTCAGAGATGTCACCCACAAAGCATTTCCGTGGCTATTGTGCTTCCGAGTCCAGGTTCATTGCCCTTCTATCGCGGGCCGTCGTGTAGCGACGCGGGCTGCATCGAGCAACGAGCAGTGCCATAATTTTGATAGGAATACGGGCACTATCAACGCGGGTGTCCTAAGCAAAGAAATGAAAACCGGCGGCAGGGTAAGAAACCCTGGAAGCGGGGTGGCAGCGGAGACAAGTGGTGTTCCTGTCGCCACACGAAAACACACTCCGACGGTGACTGCAACCACCAAAAAGAGGTAAACAAGAAGCCGCCTGCCCAAGCGAACTTTTACGCGCCATCGGAATCGCACATCTAGCAAAAGATCATAGACACACCCATCGTTTGGGTTCTCCTTGACCGCCGTCGACTCCACATCAGTCGCCGCAGGTGCTGCGGCCCCGATGTGGGGTCGACGCGGCGAATGAGAAACCCAAATGATGAGTGTTTCTATGATCTATTGCTAGATGCACGATTCCGATGGTGCGTAAAACTTCGCTTGGGCAGGCGGCTTCTTGTTTACCTCCTTTGGGTGGTTGCAGTCACCGTCGGAGTGTGTTTTCGTGTGGCGACAGGAGCACCACTTGTCTCCGCTGCCACCCCGGTTCCAGGGTTTCTTACCCTGCCGCTGCTTTTCTTTTCTTTGCTTAGGACACTCGCGTTGATGATGCCCGTATTCCTGAGAGTTGTGACAATGGACGTTGCGCGACGCGGCCGATATTGCAACACGATGGCCCGTGATGAACGGACCCGATGGCTTCCTGAAGCTCTGGTCGATGTAGATGTTCGCTACTGAGATGCGTGTTTCCTTGAGACCGAGCGTCCCGTCCGGATGGCTTGTTTGCCGCACGAAATCGTACACCTTGGGACAAAGCCCGAAGAATCACATCTTCGTATTTCTCATCAAGGTCGTATTTCTCATCAAGGGCTTTCTCTCCCATGCCATCCGTCAAGTGGCAGGCGGAGGCCGTCCAGGTTTGCGAGGAAGTAAGGGGATGTCTTCGTCGCACTCCATTCTTGACACGCGTGACCAGCTCTCTTGGTTCCGTCGCAGCGTTCAGTCAGAGCCTCCATGCGCGGTCCACACATGACTCTGCGTATCATCACGCACATCAGCAGTGTACAGTGCCATCCATCTTTTCTTTGCATGCACCCTACAGTACACCGCACTCGTGCAGTCATGCTACTTCACACAAACTTTGACCTTCTAGACTGGTAGACTGGATTGTTCTCGATGGCGTTGGACATTTCGTGCTGTCATGACGGAATCAATCGTCATCTTTCCTCAGGACCCTCCAGTCCATTCCGAAACGCTCTGGTCCAGTATTCCGGACATGGCAGGACAAGATGCGAGAAGCTATCAACTTTCACGCTGTATAAATGCTAGGCATGCTCGACGGAACCCCGCATCCCTAATCTACGGCCGTTACTCTTGCTGAAGTCGTCAAACGGAAGCGGGATAACGTGCGACTCTTCTCTACACTGCTCTTCGGGACCGAAGGATCAGCCCACGTCACCGCCACACCGTTTTTTGGGTACAGCGGGAAATTCAGGAGACGGTGCGGCGGCACGGATGATCGCTGCGACAGAAGAACCAAGGGAGCTCGTCGAGCGTGCCGACAGAAATTCTTTTCACACTCTCGTGGAGTGCGAGGATATCACCTCCTCGAACGACATTACAGTATGAAAGATTTCCTCTCGGCACTCACGACGGGCTTCATTAGTCTTTCGTCGAAGGGATCACCTGGAGCCTTGCACGCCCCTGCACCATTTCCTGGATTTTCCGCTATGCCTTACCGGCCGAGGGCCTCGTCCCCCTCAGTGCCGGAAAGTGTGAGCCCGAATATGGGTGCTTTGAAAAAAAAATAATCTTCTTCAACGAATTGAGCGGAACCAAAATATTCGTGAGAAAGCTCTCGCCAGCAGCGATCGAATAAGCCTTTCCACAGCGCGGGGTTTTCGTTTTTGAGAAAGATATGGCTCCATTACCATCAATGCAGAAGGCACTTCATCCCACAAGAATCGCCATATCTCAACAACTACGGCGAACCCCGCGAAAGAAATTGCAGATTTGAAAAGCTCTCTTTCAGAAGTATTTTACTGCGGCGGAATCATCCCCGAGCGTGGTGAAGAAGAACTTAAAAAAAATCAACACCCTGAGAAAAAAAAAGAAAAAGCATTTCTCCAGATTTTTGGCCTTAAATTTTTGTCGTGGGGCAATATGATGATAACTCAAGGAGTAATTGAGCAATTCTGGAAACGATTACAGGAAAATGACCGTTAGTGTTACATCGATATAAGGGCACATGTCTGCGCAATGCTAATGACGTGTTTCGTGTTCAATGGCGCGATGGGATGAGGGATAAAATTTGTATCTGTAGGTTCCCAGCTCGAATCTGATGCGTTGTCTTCTTCGTCTTTTTTTCCTGATCATATTTGTGTATCACATTAACTTTTCCATACGTTTGTCTTGAAAAATGTGTGCAATTTTCTTCGACCTCATCAAACAAAATTTGGTCACCGGGTCTTGTCGGTGCCATCACGGGCAATACGCACGTGAAAATAGTGTCGAAATCCATGACTTTAGTCAAAAGTTATTGCCGGTCAACCAAAATCGGTCTCACACTTTCCGGCACTGTATGCCTTACCGGCCGAGGGCCTCGTCCCCCTCTTGCTCCACGTGGCGATGGAAAGCTACTATGTATGGTGCAACCAGGACAAGGGTAGCGGGGTGACAAGCTGGTAAATCTGTTTTGGGCGTAGCCTGGGCAGGCGTGAAACCGCAAATCGCTCCGTGAATGAAGCCAGGGTAACCGTTGATTCTGTGGATGACATGCGTGCTCACTTACGTACGTGCACCCCCACATTCCCGCCCCCCCACCCCTCCCTCTGCTATCGCAGGTCTCCAACCATCATTTCCAACCGCAAATGTGCTTCTGTGACTTGCGAGAGGTGAGTGGTCGTCCACGAGAAAAGCCAGAAAGCGATATAGCGCAGCGGAAAGGATGGAGGGAGAGAGGGGGAGAGCATGTGCTCGCGTCGTTGTTCCAAGTCTTCAGGCCGGTATTTTGTTGAATTCTTGCTGTTCGCATGTGGATCGTATGTGGCGACCACGTAAGAAGCGGTTGAGGAGCAATGGATGGTGCTCCTTTCCATGCGGGAACGATGCTTTAGCCGAACCTAAGCACGGTCGATGGCCTCACAAGGTACAAGCGGATGTATGCCGAGCACGCTATCCCTACCGGGCGATTTTTCCTGCAGCATGTACATGTCAAGCCCTCGTGGCGAAACAACCACAGCACCTGGCCGAAAATTCATTCACGCTGTTGACGCCCTGAACAAGAAGCATAGAGGACCGAACAACGACATGTGGTTATAGAGTGACCCTGATGACCATATGAGCACATGACAATCGTTGGGTTGGTCGTGAAAGGCTGGGAATGTCCTCGTTCAACGACACCAAGACGCCTCCGGGAGCTTCGTTGCCGGTGGAAACGGCCACCGCAGCTGATTTTGACGCTTCTACCAACCAACTCGCGGATCTATCTTTCACACACATCTCGTGAGGCAATCGTTTCAAGGCACTGTCGCTTCTGTCCCACGGGGGCGATCTATTTCCTTCACGCAGATACTGCCGGCGTTCCACGTTATTCCATTTCACAACATGTCAGCGGAAGCGGCGGCGTTTGCCGCAAGAATTCCCGAACCGTTGCCTATTTCGCCGCACAAGGAGGTGAGAGGGAGTCCTCGACCTTTGGCAGCAGACCCTTGCCCCGGTAGGGCTGCATGATTCCTGTCCGAGTCTCCGCAGTGAGAGGCTCGACATCTCGGCGTAGAAGGAACAATGGTGCGATATGACAGTAAGAGACGCGACAAGAAATCCGATGGGCATAGGATGTATCGCAAGGGAACTTCATTCAGGTCTGGGCACGCATGTACACTGTCAATAATGTCGCTGGTTCTTCAGCTGAAGAGCGACGAATACGATAGAGAAAATGATTCTGGGCTACGACGTTCTACCCCTACCGAAGCATGACTGAGCAGCTGGCCATCGGTCTGGCTGAGCGTGTTTCTGGCACGCTGACGCTTAGAGAACTCCTAACGAAGACGCCGTCGACATTCGGGCGCTCTTTTCTTTATCTGTAAATACGAGGAGGTTGTGACAAGTTTTTCCCAGTTTTCTTGTGATCCAATGAAAAATGCTTGGCGTTGGTGGGGTTTGGGCTTAACCTATTTAGGCCACGGACGGCGGCACTGCCGGCATTTCCAAGAGCAGCATCGGAAAAGATGGGCCAGGCGGCATGGCGCAGGGGGGAAGAGGGACCGGGGTGAGCGGATCGCGGCGGCAGGAAATCGCAGACTTTTTGACGGAGAGGTTCGAGACGGCTCGAGACAAGGACGTCAAGGTACACCTAGGCGTGAGGGCCAGAGTATGAAGGACCCTTGGTGGTGTTGGTTGACGTAAGCCCCGCAATCAACTCCTGATTGTCCCAGGCGTTGGTCGCAACATCTTCCATGAGCCTCTCAAAGGGTTCTTCAAGCCCGTCCACACATGGTGCGCGCACCAATCATGTTATATACATACTCACAGGATGGTCGTCGTGACGTGATACATTTCTTGTTATTAGTATGGAAAAAAATAAAAAAGATGGCTCGATTTTTGTTTCTACAGCAGTATGGACCAGCCGCCGACTGTACATGGAAGTCGTACGAGTGCCGACTTAGTTGTGCTGTCACAGCATCTTCCACGCACTTCTGCCAGTGCTGGTTTGTTGATTGGAGTCTTGTAGGTCGAGATACAGCAGTGGGATTCTCGGGTTGTGGAGGCAAAAGTGAACCAGAGCAAAAAATTTCATGCACAGCTCGATTACTAGAGTATCCCGCTCAACTTCTTTTTTTTTGCGACATGTGGTTGCATATTTCTTTGCCACTGCCGAAAAAGACCGCTGGATCTTTACGCAGTCCACCTTTCGCATTTATCATTTTACACCGAACGACGCGGGACGGGTCGACCTTCATCATTGTTGTTGTTGTTGTCTTCACATGAAAAACCGTTCCGATCTCTCTCTACCCAGTAACTTCATATGCCCGTACTTGTGGATTACTTGTTAGTTAAATTGTGGGAATCCCTTCATTCCGAGAGAGCCACAGGTCGGCATCCGGCCTTTTCTTTTTTTGTATGCACTTTTCTTATATGCACTTTTCTTCCTGTGAAGTTTTGACGTTGCGCTTGCCATCGTCGCTGAAGTGTTTGTGGCTTCAAACGTTCTCAGCCGGCCTTCAAACTTCTTGCTTGTTGATAAGTCTCCGTGGTAACTTCTCCGCACATGAGTCATATGCAGTTATGACCTGCGCTTTGACTTTCACGATGGGTATTTTACCTCTTTGTCTTGCATTGGTGAGTACCTGCGTTATACGGAAGGATCGTTCCACGACGCAAACGTCGACGTCTCCGTTTTTTTTTTTGTTCCCTCCGCACTCCTTCCTTGCGGCGGTTTTCACACCGACTTCGAACGTGGGGTGCAATTTCCTCTCTTCGTACATTCCTCGTCGGCCTTCTCCATCGTTATGAACATAATGTATACCTCGATTTTTCGGCTTTTCGATTCCGATAAGACAAGACTACGGACTGACATTTCCCTTTCACCCCCGACGGGACCGCGCGCTCTTCGAGTGCCGAAATTCTTCACCACTTCCTTGCCTCTGACTCATGCAACGGTAGGGGTGCACGAATCCCTTCTGAGTCTCAAACGTGAGAAACTCTATATCTCAGCCTGAAATGGAAATTGACACAACACGAAAATATGACGTGACAGGTAAGCCGATGGGCTAGATGAAACACGATTGAAATTAGAAATCGGAGTTGATATTCGAAGATTATTGGTTGGTTATTCATCTGAATAACCGAAGGTTCTGGGCCATAATGTGCTATCCCTACCGTTGCATAACTCCTCTCCCAACACCGTCCCTTCTTCCCGCCCCAACAAATCTTCTCCCCTTCTTCTTCTTCTTTCCTTCCTCCCGGACACTCACCACCATCCGTCCTGGATGTTGGCCCCCAGCCCCATTGGGGGGCGGGGGGCCAATCCTTAACCCTAGTTTCTTCTACAAGGTATTCCAAAAAGACCGGCAGGCACAAAAACGTTTGGCGGATGATGTTGTTGCAGCTGTCTGACGGCACGACACATCTTTGGGCGATATATTTATCTTTTTCGCCCTCAAGACATGTTTGGTTGTTTATTTTGTTAGATGTGCTTCGGTATGCATACGGGACACCGCCCGTCCCACGACGTGAAGCCGAGGCGGTATCGACGCAAGAATGCCGGTGAACAAGTTGTGTGGCGAGTCGACGTTAGCGAGGTCGCAGTCAACTTCTCTGACCGACCACGATGTCTCGGTCAGGGAAGTCGAGTGCCGCCCCGCTATCGTCGACGCGCCCATCCAACATCTCACCGGCCGTCCCCGATCGCCTCCGCCGCAAGTTCGCGTCCAGGGGTGGGTGATATCCCTCGGCGATGAGATAAGGTCACGTGAAGATTGGAATCGACGAGGGGCCTCGTGTGACGGCCAGTGGTGCCGCCCAGACGTCGTAATTTATTGCAGGTCTTCGTGGCCAGGGCCTAGGGCTTCATTGTATTGAGACTCACCCTAAACATTCGTTGCCCTTTCTTGAGCATGCACTATCTGTCGATTTTGTGACGACCTCGTTCAGCCTGGCATCTTTGAGAGATTTTCAGTGAGAGAGAGACCGTAGGCATGTATTGTGTGCGTCCTGATGCGTGTCGTGTCGTTCTACGTCGCGCGGGTGCACGTTTTATAAAGAGCTACCCAAATCGTGCGTATGGCTTCCACCCCGGTCATCTCGGATGTGAATTCAAAATGTATGGTAGTCTGCCAGGTGCAGGGCGGCAGCCATGAAGAATTTTGCCGCAAAGACCAATTTGACGATGCGATGGCCCGTTGTCGTGCCCCGTAGGCTGCACGGTAAAACGAGACAAGTCAAACACAAAGGAACACTGGAAATGGGTTGATTGTGTTGAGACAACGACCCCCCCCCTCCCTTGCGCTATGTTTCCGGCCACTAGGTCACTGGCGCGGCTGATCGCAAGAACATGTTTCTATCCAACCGGGTGTTGAGAGTCGTGCATCAGGTGAGTCACTTCTGAGTTCGTTTGGCGGCGTTGGTAGTAGTGCGGTGGTGGAGCGGCAGCGGCTGTGTCGGCGTTCTTTGTTTAGTCGTGGTGTTGTTGTTTAGAAACCTCCACAGGGATTCTGCCCTGGGTCGGTTCGACGTCACAAGTGCAGACTCTCTCTCGAATTCAACCAAGGACTGCCTACCCGAGCGAACGGTAAACCAACTACTGTTATGTAGACAAGCAAAAGAGACGGTATTCGATCACATGATGGTCGAAAATATTTTATTTTCCCACACAGAAGAACCCCCGCCCTCCTCGGCACCGTCTTGCCCTCTATGACTGAGCATTTCCGGCCTCGGTCTCTGTCAGATTCACGATATGCATGGAGACGTGCGAAAAATACATACGATACTATGTAGCTGATGGATGAAACGCCCACCACCCACGCGGACACGCGATCTACGACACAATTGTGCTCTCGACGAAGAGGATGCAATAACGAAACGATACGTTTTCGGAGAGGTCTCGACCAGACGGCTTCAACGCCGCTGTTTGCAGCGCCGTGACACTTTCTGCCGTCGATAAAATCGAGCTTTGAAAATCAGTCCAATGGGTGTGTTATCTTGTGTCGAATACGGCATTTCACCACCCGTTTTCGAACGCACTCACCCGATACCTTCCAACTCATGGAGACAACAGAACAAACTGTCGAGAGGAAAAAAGGCGCTTCTTGGAGCCTTCCAATCGTCGTGTACATTCCTCTCTACTGTAGACTCTTGTTTTTGGCGATCTAGACAACCCCCATGGCCGACCCAATACGGTACAAAGGAGACACCCACCCTCTCCGCCCCCCCCGCCGACAAAAAGGCAAGAAAATGCTTTCCATGATTCCTTCATCGCGAGATATATGTTTGTGTCTCCATCCCTCTCCCCGCTCCGATTCGGCGATGGCAAAGATGTTCAAGGAGGACTACGAAGTGCTCGGGCAGTACTTTCCTCCCGGCGAAGAGGAAATCAACACCGCGAGCGGAAGGAGAACCACGAAGACCCCACCACAGTGAATGATGATGTCTCTGTGTAGAGCGCCGTGCATGATGCTTCAGAGGCACGCGGCAGCACACGACACCCCGTGTCCGACCTTGACTCGGGAGCACGCCGGCATGAGAAGAAAGGTTTCTACGATGCTACTATTATATCATTGAAATGCCGCCGTCTTGGTGACCGGCCAGCACCAGTACCGTTGAAGCACTCGGGTCCGTTCGTGTCGTTGGGGGTCGCTGTGGCGGTCCGTATGGATTGCTCGGGCAGAGGCTTATTCTACAGGAATTTGCAAGCGCGGAGGAGGTAAGCGAGCAACAAAGGTGGATGTCAATGCTTGACGACTGCATTCGGGGCCCGGTCCGTAGTCTTTCTGAAAAAATTTAGCGACTTACACACTGACTTACACAGGTGAAGGAAACCGATAACTACATGAAAACCTGGGTGGACCATTTCCACCCAAATCGTTTGGTTTCTCGTGCCCACGGATGGCACCAAGAACACTAAAGTCCCAATTGTTGTACCTTGTCCGCAGCAGTAGACTAGAGTGCGTCAGTAGCCACCGCGAGTAGGGTTGTATAGACGAAGGAAGCGGTCCAAATCCCCACTCGTTCTGGGTTCTGCCGCTCGAAGTAGTCTCTCTGTTGTTCCTGTCTGTGTACATAATAGTCTAAGATGCATGCATTCCTGGTTGAAGACTCGACTTGTGCCAAGTTTAACATTTTTCTTCATGTTTATATTGGTCGTGGAAAACCTTCCAGTGGCCAGGGTCAGGGGTTCGAATCCCGGCGTAAGCGAGCTTTCCTTGCAAAGTGAGTTTTCTCTCGCTTCCGTTCCTGGCCTGGGTGGAAAGCGCTACATACATAGTTCGTGTGTACACAGAGGGGAGAGAGTGC